GCACAGCGGTCCGAACGAGCGGGCCCAATCTATCAATCAGAAACTCTGATTGCAACTGTCGTGTCACGCCGCCATGCCCTAGACAGTTTTGGAATAACGATGCTACGCTCACTTTAGGCAACCACGATGGAAACAGCTATGCTTCTGCCCAACAAACGACAGAGATTGCAGGAGTTAGCTCGATTCAGTTTGTTGCAGTGTCATCCGCAAGATTGAAATCCTTGCAAGTCAGGACTCTCAGAGACATCAATCCCCTTACCATCTCAAAGGCCCGACACGCGAGGTGTCTTAAAAGATCATGAACTTGTAAAACACACGCTTTTAAGAGCAAACCGTGTTTGATACAAACCTCAGGTCATCGACTCCGCTCTCTGGACAGGGGGTTTCTTCGGGGCGATGTGGCTCCGAGGCTTTCGCGTCAAGAGGATGTCTATATGAGTGGCACAAGAATGCCACAGGATGCCAGCTTCAAAGGTCTTTAAACAAGGAAATAAAAAGAACGGAAAGAAATGGCCAGGGAGAAAGGAAGGAAGGAAGGAAGGAAGGGCATGGGATGCGTTGATGCTATATCTTGGTGACTACAAGAGTTGCACCTCACCAGGTGATGTCCCGCTGTTCTTCTGCGCCCAATTCCTGCCGCAAGCGGGGGCCGCCCTGCACTTAGTATGTATAGCTATTCCGAAGTTCAAGAATCCTTGAGAAAAAGACAAGAGAGATATATTGCGAATGCACAACGAAAGGCGGAGCCAGCAGTCGATGCGCGCTCCCTTTTTGGTCAAACCGCGGGGGCTTGAGAAGGGATAAAACCTATGGAAAGTTAATTTTTTGTTAAATTTAGATGTCCACCGGTGCAAATTCCAGTCAGTCTGCAGGTCCGGAATTCATGTCGGCTACACTCAGCACAGCTTTTCGGCGCCGTGCCGACTTCATTTTCTCATCGTATACTATCCTCCACTTTTGGCCCATCTGGAAGTACAAATGGATTTGACCCTTTTCCGTAGGTTTTGTGAGTGAATTCCCTAGTTGAGCATCAGAATGCACCCACCTGATCATGGTTCCAGAGTCTGTTGCTGAATCCTTCAAAGCAAGAGCTTCTATCGTGGCCCGTTTCTCTTCACCCTTAATGGTTGGTGTATCCTTGTCCAGGCGATCATAGAGGTTCTTACTGTCTGTCACCACGATTCCTGGAGAAAGCATGACTATGTTGTCTGCCGAAAGCCGCATCAAACAGCCCGGTGGATGATTGAGCTCGGACCATAAATATCTCATGTGATAAAGTTCATCCTCCGCATTGACAACAGCATGAATCTCTGCGCATGCTGGGGATCTGCATTTCCGGCCGATCTTGCCTGAGCGCCATGACAGAAGTGTCACCTTCGAGAGGCTGCCATCACGGAGTGTTCGAGGTGCTAAGCCTATGACTATACCTTCTGTGCTGTTGATTTGATCTGGACGGTTGGCCCAAGCTGCATCTCCCCAAGCGATGAGGTCGACTGTTTCTCCTTTCTGGAGAGGATGGATTCTTATATCTGGAGCGGTTCTCTGCACATCTGCAACCAGGTTATTGAGTTTCACCAAGTCTTGAACAGTGCTTCGGGGTATAGTTGAAACCAGGTAGTTGACATCTGAACTGTGAACAACGTCGGTTTGCCCACAAACCCAACTCAAGCTACCCAAAACAGCTCTCATTTGTGATTTTTCTTTGTCTGTTGTCTGAACCTGTCGTTCCTTCAGCCTGTCCTTGGAGATCTTGATCATAGTGAGACCTTCAATGAAATCCTTCTGGGAAAGAGTGAAGCTGAAATCGGAATGTTGTGTCACTTTCACACCACATTGTATGAATGGACTGTCCTCCCAAACACCCCAATTGAACTTCTGTTTAATCTGACTCATGAGTTGTACATGTACATCGTCACTGTCGCACCCTCCAAACAAAAAGTCATCAACGTGACCACTGATTGCTGAACGTGGAACACCATGACCATCAAAATATACCCAAATGCATGGCTCTGTACGCATTCTAGTGTAACCTATAGAGATCAAGAAATTGGACACACTGCGATACCACCAGAGTGGGGCCTCGACCAGGCCATACGCTGCTCTCTGAAGTTGAGTCACCGAACCTTCAGGGATGTTCAATGCTTCGCAGATCTCTCGAGTGGGCTGCACTAGCATGCCGTCCTTCAGCTCCTCGCCTTGTAAGAATGCTGAAGAAACATCGCCCTTGCGTACTCTGAAATGTTGCCGTGCACAGAGGCATAAAAACAGTTGACGGCCAGAACGTGACAATGTCGGTGATGCTGTTTGTTTGTACTCATAATTCTTGTCTTGGTATCCTAATATCACCGCGCGAGCCTTGGCACGCCTGGGTCGATCTGGATCGTCAACCAGTTTCCAAGTCAAAACCCATCTCATACCCACAGCATCCTTTGAATTTTGTAGTTCTGGTGGAAGGACTTTAAAACAATGTGATTGTATGTAGTTGCGAACCTCCTTGCCCTTGGCTTCGTCAAACTCCAAGATTTCTTGATCTGTCAATGTTCTCTCTCGCACCTCTACATGAGACCTCTTGAGTTGGCTTACAACAAAGGCCTCTGGGTTTGCACAATACCGCTGGAAACCTCTTTTGGAAGTGGGGATGTCGATGCTGATCTCAAATGCTGTTAGGACTTGCTCTGGGTGCTTTGTGGCTGTGAGAGCGGGATCTGACATCTCTGCATCAGGCTGGCTGGATGCCGGCGGCATCTCCACATCCGGACTGCTCGCATCTAGTCGAGGTCGAGAGGGACGATCATCAAGAAGTGGAGTAGTTCTCTTCCCTGTCACTCTTCGCCTACCTGTGGGGTGTTCTGAAGCCTCTTGCCATTGAAGATCTGAGGGAACTTCCGAGGTAATATCCCAGTAGGTAGATCTTTGTGGATGACTAGCCAAACTGGAAATGGTCCAAGGTATCTCGCAGGGCCCCTTGAGCTCCTCGATGGCCCTCTCTCGACTGGACGCAGTTCTCAGCTGTTCGGGCGCCGCCTTGATAAGGCGTCCTGCTCGGTGGAGCCACACGCAACTCCCAGGTCGAAGTTTTCCTTCGTCATCAACACGGGTCTCAACAGCTAGTACTCTAGCGGGGCCCACAAAATGACCTCTCCAAGAAAACCCACGACCTTCACCACCTTGCGTCTGTCGTCTCCAATAGAACACCAGGTCCCCAGGGGTAAAGGATTTGAGTGGTCTTCTACCTGCTGCCTCTGCCCTAGTCAGCCTTGCTTGTGCCTGAAAACGTAGGAAACTCTGTTCTGCTGTTGCCATTGCTTTGATGTTTTCTGCAAAGCCACCGTCAACCATCTGTTGGGGGTGAACTGGATGTTGGTCTACGTTTCCCTCAAACAAGCGTCCCCACTCATCTGGTGTACGACTCATAGCATGTTGCGCAGGAGAATAACCATGTTGATTGTCCCGACTGTTGCATGCCCAAATGGCCCTTGTGAACAACTCTGTGCCCATTTCTGGAAAGTCGCTCGCTAGGGACTCCATGACATGTTTGACAGCCCTGATGGCTTCTTCGACCACTCCGATCTGCCAATGAGCTTCCGCCGGAATTGGTGTGAGAATAATCCCACGTTCTTGGCAGTATGCAGCAGCCTCATCACTTCTCCACACGCCCTCCGGATCTACCCGAATTTCTTCGGGTTGCCCAAAAACTGACATCCAAGACTCCTCAAAAATCTTCTGCACAATGTTCCAGGTTGCTTGGTTTCTACTGTTCTCGAAAATGATTCGCCCTACACGAAAACGTGAACCCTCATCGATGAAAAGAATGAACTTCACCTTGTTCTTTGTCTGGGGGTGAATCCAAGAACCCAAATCACATTGAACCTTCTGCCATTTCTTTGCCAGAGTCTCTAATTAATGTCGCTGGACGATGAGGTGCAGTCCTCTTCCGTTCCTCACACACGGGGCATTCAAAGTCGCGAGCCACCGCGAGGATCCTCTCTGAGACGCCCCTGTGTTTCAGCGATTTGAGAAGAGTGCTCAAAGAACCATGGCCTGTGACGTTGTGAATATGCCGAACCAGTTTCAGAATCCTCTCATGTTCTTCTCTGTTGATGTCCCCTTCATTCACAAGGCAACTCTCTGAAGATTCCTCACAGAAAAACGGATCCGAGGATGCTGTATCCTCAGCGTTCAGCTCATAGGTCAAAGCGGTCCACGCTTCATGCTCCTGAAGAGCCTCCACCACCTTTTTCACAAACACCGGAGTATAGTATGCTGACATAGCTGGTCTACCACTTTCACATGGTGTCTGCTTGTGGTTTTGTTGACATGGAAGATGCATATGACGGAGGAGACCCTGGTTGGCGGTTGCTATGGTCCAACCCTTGCACATCAGCTGTTGAGTGTCTTTGGCGCGAAGCCCAACAGTACAACCATGACAAGTCACTTTCCTAAGTTGGAGCTCCTCCACAAATGCTTGTAACTCGTGCAAGTGCCAGGCCTCGCAACGCTCCGACAATTCCCAATGAATTTGGGATCCACGGCGTCGACCATATCGTGCCACCTCAATGCCCCCCAAATATTCCCTTCTAGCATAGGCTTGTTTTTCCTCAAGTTGTTCCCTCTGTTCCTCAGTCTTACGATTGAGTCTTTGAAGGGGGAATAGGGACCACAGTCGCATGACACCCAAATATGAACTGGTCTTACCTCACGGATCAGCTTCTTGAGTTTGGTCACGCCACTGTCGGATGTCAAATCATAGCCATTCCAGATTGAACAACGGAGTGCACTACCGGGCCCTAACTGTTTCAACACCTCGGTCAAAAGACTCTGGGGCCCACATGCCACCTCCAACAAGAAAACTCGATCAGAGTGCACTAGGTCATTCCAGTGTTTGCCGAATGGATTTCTTGTTTCAAGCCACGCACGACCAATTTGCTTGTGAGTGTGGAAACATTGAAGGACCGGGCATGAATCCCACTCCTGATCACTCTCGGGCTCATCAGCGGTGTTCACATCTCCTTGCGGGGCTTGCTCCTCTCCATCTGCTTGGAGAGCATGGCATTCTCTGACTTCAGCTGCTCCAGTTCTGCCTTCAGGCGATCCACATCTTGGTCTGAATCGGACTGATTCACCTTGACAAATGAGCTGTCCGTGTGGTCGCTGTCTCGCTCGCGAGCTGGCGGCTGGTAGCCCGAACTCCGTCCACGAGCTGTCGGAGTTGTCAAGGAGCGGATTGTTGGGCCTTGAGTCAAAGGCCTGTCCCAGTTCTCCTTGAGCCATTCTGCCAGGCGACGAAGTCGCCAATGACTGCCCGGATTCTCTGCTGCTGTGTCGATCACCCAGCTGCCGTAGGAGCGATGTGTCTGCAGGATGTCCTTGTACTGGCATTCGGCATGTTTGCCAAAGTTGGCCACATCCCACGGAGTTGGTGGTGTCTCCATAGTCATTTTCTCCTCCAATCGGCTGTACATCTGAGCAATCGTCATGTGAGGTCCCACAGGAATGCCCTCCTTCTCTGCCATCTCCATGATGTGTGCCTTCTTCTTTGCAGCCTTGTTCAGGGCCTGGATCTTGCTCTTCAGGACCTGGCGGTCGGACTCCTTGTCGGACTCCTTCAGTTCTGCCAGGCGAGCTTTCAGCTGGAGCACTGTCATGCTCGAGGAAACTGACTCGCCGTATTCCTGAAGCTTGTTGATGAGATCGGCCTTGCACTCGGTCGGCATGATCACACACAAGTTCCGGAGAATCACACGGTCTGCACGTTGAGAGTTCACACTGCTGCTGTCGGGATAAAACATCTTCCGGCTCAAACACACACCTGATAGACCCACTACAACCATCATACACGGAATCACAATCATGTTCATGTCCACAAAAGGTGCAAAAAGAATTCTGTACAGCGTTCAAATGACAAATGCTGCAGGTTCCAAGTTCTACACATGCACTATCAAAAGAATGAGGGCTCCCCTGGACGCGATGTCCATTTTCTCCAGAGGAGCGGATTTCCTATTCATCACCGAGCGCACCAAAAGCCTGCTTACGGCGGGTGGCCCCCTCAAGAAGATTTCCACTCAAGGGCATCAGGAGATGGCCGTTCGAGGCCTGTTCCAAAGCAACAACACTGTGGGGGCAAATCTTGCGGTAAATCACTTCATTCCGCCCAAAATCCACAACAGCTCCTAAAGCCTTGAGGGACCGAATCGAAATCAAAATCGGCTGGTCAGGTACTTCATGTACATGAATTGCCATGTCTCCTACCTTTTCTCCGCACGCCACCTTCACTGTGGCTGTGGACACACACGGCTGTGTGCCGTTGTTCCCAAATCTGAACACAGGAGTTGTGTCCGGATCCACGCTCACGCCATCATGTCCCTTGTTCAGGACATTGTTCCTCATCAGTGCCTCAACAGCACAGACAGAGCCCAAGGTGGCCGTGGCACCGCAGTCAATGATTCCCTTGCCCAGGCGGATGTTCTCGCTCACCTCGGAACTGACGTTGGCCTGCTCACACGACAAGGATTCCTGTACAGGTGTCACACTGAAGGCGACTTCAGCCTCTTCCGTCACATTTGCCTGCTGCCGACGGGGCATTGGACAGTTTGACGTTTGGTGAGGGCCTCCACAACGAAGACACTTCTGAGGAGTATCATCTCTCTTGCCTTGACCCTTGGAGTAGCCCTTGCCCGTGGTCGACGGGTAGAATTTCCGCCCGCTGCGAACTTGCTGTTGCCGCCAGCGAGCCTCCTTCAAGGTGCGCTTCTTCTCTTTGATCACCTCAAGGGCGTCTTCGATCACCTCCTGGTCTGCAACGAATGCCGCATAGGCCTCCGGTTCTGTCGAAGGGTCCGGCATTTCACCATCGGCCGTCAGGCCGTCTTCCAGGTCCTCCTCCTGAGCGAAGTGGGCCTGGTAGTGCGACTTGTCCCTTTTGAGCAAATCATCATCAGCCCATTGCTCCTTCAGCGCTCTCTCCACAGAGGCGACTGAGAACTCACCACGAATTGCAGCAAGCACATTGGCGCGCTCTCCGGCATCAAGCCCTGAACGCTGAAGGAGAAGAAAACCTGTGAGGTGGTCTGGAATGAAGTCAGAGACCTCCGCCTGCCATGAAGTCGGTGGTGCATACTCATCACTCTTCCATGAGCCAGCTTGCCATTCAGACCAGTCTGAGCCCCACCAATTCCAGCCATTTTGCAACCAACCATCAGCGCCACGGTGGGGATGTTCATCCTCACCATCATCATCCATCATCCTACCATTCTCATCGAAGGGTCCCATAGGTCCAGCGGCACGGTGTGTCGATGCTGTGACATCCGAGCTCCTCCGATCTTGTCCAGTGGCACCCCAACTCACATCACTAGGAGCTCCACTCGAGTGTCTTGAACCCCCCAGGGCAGTGTTCACACTGCCGCCATGCTCACCTTGCACTCGTTGTAGAGATCTTGATGCCTCCCAAAGGGCTTCACTGTGTCGATTGACCCATTGGGTCATGGTTTCATTCTTCTTCCGCCTCAACTGGTAAAAGAATTTCTGGATGTTCTGCGCTGCCAGGATCAGTGTTGGCTGCCCCAATGATCGCTCTAGATGGTCTATCAGGTCAAAAGTCCCCCGCGGATGAGCTAACCATTGAGGGTCCTTGGCCAACTTCTTTCTGATCACTGTTCTAGCCACCCCTGTCAAGCCCTGAGCTAGCCTAGGCCCAGCCAGATACCGTTTGTGGTGTTCCAACGTGAACAAGTAGGCTAGTGCTTCTTCTTTGAACAGAGGCAGCTGTTCCACCGTCCCATCAAAGGACGGCACCCCATCTTTGCTCCTCGGCAAAGTCTCCATGTCCCCGGATCCACGCGATGCCTCTGGGCAATCACGTGCCTACCTGGACTTAACCAGGCTAACGAGCTACCATGCGAACGCACAACGAAAGGCGGAGCCAGCAGTCGATGCGCGCTCCCTTTTTGGTCAAACCGCGGGGGCTTGAGTGCTGAGTGTAGCCGACGTGAATTCCGGACCTGCAGACTGACTGGAATTTTGCATATATAACTTGACGCATGTCTAGTTTCGAGCAGTAGCTTGAATGGTATCAGGTATTTGGATGATAATGGTCCAAAACCAGTGATCTTCCACTGTGAGATCAGTTCTCCAGCAAGTTAGCGGTGACCATACCAGTAGGAAGATTAAACAGTTAAAGGTGATGAGATGTAAGCAGCAAACTGCTATAGTGATTAATCAATGATCTGAGGGGCTAGCACCACTAGCGTCGCCCACCACAGTATGTCGTCTATTCACTGGCAGCCGCAGCAATGCCTCCACAATGAGGTTGCGCAACGCATGCACACCTGCGGTCTTTACAAAGCACGCGCAGCTCTGGGACCACAGCTCTTACACGTGCCAGCATTCACACGCCGCAACTTTTACGCAAGCCAGCCTTCACGCAGCATATTGCTCTGCACAAACGAGCGCTGACGCAACAGAGCCTCTACGCACAGCCGTGTTTGACAAACCTCACCACAACATGTTGTAGCAACCATTATGTGGAGCGCACATGTGACATACGACCGCATTTGCGCGGCACATTTTGGCACCAGGCAGTTCTGACCAGCTCTTACATATATTCAGTGTTGGCAAGCCTCCACGTGCGCCGCACTACACAACATGTTGTAGCAACCACGACGGCGCCTGCTGCCAAGCCCTGCAAAAGCCTTGCGGCTGACCGCTTTGTTTCGCCGCACACGTGGCACGCCTCTCATCTATTCCTGCTAACTCTCTACCTTTCGTGTTTCCCTGTCTCAAATTGTGTCGCTTCAGGCGCATAACTATATTTATAAGAGATCATAAGAGAGGTCTGAGAGGCCTAAGACTTCAAAGTTTGAACATGTTTCCTGATGAATTTGTTTCAATTGAACGGTTTTGTGTCACTTGTTGAAAGGAACAGTTAATGTCAGCTGCGTTATTTGATTCAAGCAAGGTCTGCAGCAGCAGCCGACGGAGCATCTCTTTTTCTGAGTGATCAAAGTCGTGGAGCTTGCTTTGGAACAACCACCAGGCATTCACAGCCTAGCGCAGCTAGTGCCGCAGCACATGCAACACCCACTTGTGATTCTAAGGGGCGTCGAGGTTTTGCCAGACTCCTTGGGTCCTGGTCCTGCATGCCAAGCGCCCATTCTCGACAAGCAGATTGACAGCGTTTGCGTCGTGTTCGTAAAACGCATTTTCGCGAGCCAAGGCTATGATGCACACGCAGCAAAGAACAGGATTAGTTCGAGGGCCAAGCTCCCAGATGCATACGTTTACTGAGTCGCCGGCGGTTGATTGTGTGATTGCTCTTCGTAGCCGCAGCCAAGCACATTGTCGGGGATAATGATGTGAAAGTCTGTTTGCGACTCATTGTTTTCTTTTTTACCTTTCACCTTTTCTGATCCATGATCATATATACAAACAACACTTGTGAACAGCAAATGTGCCTGTGGCCACATTAGCCCTTACATGGCAGCTGAAGGCAGTCCTAACTTACCTTGGTGGCTGAGGCGCAAACAGGATCGCTAAGGTTTTCGTGTTCGGAGTGCGAAACATGCACAACAACAACAACAACCACAACGACAACGACAACGACAACCACGACAACGACAACGACAACAACAACAACAACAGAAAGCCAAAAGAATGCGTTCAACATCACACACACACATCACAGTTTCTTGCCAGAGAATTCGGCCCAAACGCCGGAGGGCTCAGGGAGCTTCTGAGGACCCCGGGGCTTGGACCCACCTCCCCAGGCTGGGTCTAAGTGTCGACAAAGACTGTCGACAACTTGACGGTCATCCGTGATCTCCTTGCATCCGTGTCCATTAGGTTCGCTCCTTGCTTCTCGGCGTCACTCATGGCTTTGGACATGGCGCTTGCGGATGTGGAGCGCCTTCTCTCTGGGCCTGTGAAAGGCGAAGTCAAAGGCATTCTAGCCCACGCGGATGAACAAGGAGTTCCTGAAGTGGTCGGTGACCAATATCCTATGGGATTGGCTGCACTCCTGCCTTTTGGCTGGCTATGGTTGGTCGCACAGTTCCATGTTGGAGAAACAGGTCATTTTTGACTTCAGGTGTCACCGGAGATCGCACCTCTTTGGCTTGGGTGCCAAGTTGTGCGTCGTTTGTCCTGAAGTTGAATTTGGCAATTTCATCGCCTTGAAGATCACAAACCATACAGTTTTGGCTCCCTTTCCGGTGGAGGATCAATTTATTTCGTGGAGCTATTGTAACCTTTTTTCAGGTGGCTTCTGTGGGTGGTCGCAAGCGGCAGAGATCTTGGGTCGTGATCGATGGGGACATTCCGTGGACCGACAACTTTTTGTAGATTATGACACTAATGGTGTCGAATGTCTAGGTGCGTCACTTGCTGCTCTGATGCTTCCAGCTCCTGTCAGCTGCTAACAGGAACATTGTGGTGCTTGCTGACGTGCTGGAGCCTGAAGTGTGGCGCGCGCAATTGGCGACCAAGAATGTCATCGCGACCACATCCCCGCCATGCCCACCATGGTCGAGAGGAGGTGCCAAGTCAGGCCTGTGTAGTGTGCACGGTAGAACATTTCTTCATGCAGTGTTGGCCATTAAGCGCCACCAGCCACTTGCAGTAGTTGCGGAATGTGCAGATTTGACACCCAAGCATGATCATTTTCATTTAGTGGTCCATGCATTTGGTCTCATTGGATTCTGTCTTGCCTGGTCCCAGGTTGTCCCAGTCCATGCCGTCACCAACAACCTCCGCACACGATGGATTGCTTGCTTGTTGGCTTCGACGTGACATAGCAAGCTTTCCCATCGGCTCGAACCTTGTCATTCAAACCTCCAACACTGTCCCATGGTCTGAGCCTACTAGCTCCTTTCGACTGCCTCAGGTCATCGTTGCACCTTGCCCCTTCCGAGCGCAAGATCTATGCCGATGTGACCCTGTTGCCACAAGCCAAGCGTGCCAAGCTCAGATTCAATTCCGACGCGGAAGCGGTCCTAAGTCTTGAATTGCAGACCCGTGGCATCCCCTCGCCACTCTGTGCGCAAGTTATTCGTCCCAACACCTGCTGGACCCTGACCACCTCAGGGCCAAAGGAATCTTTGCCGAGCTCAATCTTGTTGATGATGGAGATGTGGTCTTTTTCGACCCATTTCGCTTTGCTTCGATTTTTGGAGGCACTCGTAAGCAGGTCTTACCCACCAAGCTCCCCGCTGCATTCAAAATCGTAGGCAACGCCATTACAGTTTATCACGCTGCACTTGGCATTGCGGTCGCTCTCATGTCCATCACCCAGGTTAGCCTCAGGTTGCAAGATTTGTTCGATGATGTCTGGTGGGCCCGCCTCACAACCCAGAATGCCGTTGTCGTTCAACAGAATGATTTTGTTTGTTTGATTCCTACTCACAGCTTCGCAGACTCATTGTCCATTGCATTTTGCAAGTTGCCTACTGAGTCACAGTCCCGTGCACCGCTGTCAATATTGCCTTTGCCCAGGAATGTCACACAGTCCAATTGCCAGGCCATTCCACTGTGCTGCAAGCTATCGATGCATTGTTCGATCAACCTGTCCATACAAAACATGTCACTCTTTGGATCAACGATGAGGCTGTTCGGCCCACCAATTCTCTTGCACACTGGGTAGGGTGTTGTGGCCAGTTTAAGTTCCTTCGTGTCCCATCTGCCAAAGTTGACTTTGCTTCAATCTTGCCCAGTCAATCTCACTGAGATTTCGCCAACCATTTCGTGGTCTCCAGTCTCAGGTCATTCGAATCAGCCGGCTTCTCCGTGTCCCAGGATATTGGACTTCTCAGGGTGTGGATCGGATGTCGCCATTCGGTTGCGCACGTCCACTGTTCACCTCATCTCAGTTCATCCTGGAGCTACTGATTCGCAGATTACTACGGAGGTCACATTTGCCTGGGCAGTTGATGACAGTGTCCCCCGGCCCACCGCTGACTTTTGTTGCCTGCTCGGTTTCATTGGATGGCCTTCCAGCTGGTGCTCCCTTCGGGACATGTTCCAGTCTTGCTGGTCTTATCATCCCCTTCACCCTTTGAGTGTTTTGCCTTGGAGTGGCCTTCCCAAATGATTGGGCATGACCTTGCGCTCTTCACGGGCAGACATTTCTCTCGCAATGGGAAAGTCTTTGCCATTCAGGACACTGTTGATTTGCATTTTGGCGATGTCATTGAGATCCTGTGGCCTGAGACCTGAGACATTGGCATGCCTGACAGAAACACACCCATTCGGTTTGGTGGACACCCTGACTTGCTCCATGACCATCCTCAATTGCGGCCTAATGCGTCCTTCTTTGACCGCTGTGAATTTGCGTCCACTTTCTTCTGGTTGGCGTCTGACGCCCTTGAGTTTGTGCTGCGCGCTGTTCAATGGCATGATGCCACTCGGCATTACGCGGGCCCTGCTGTTTTGTCGTGGTTCGCCGGTCCGAGGCGCTGGTGCAACGGGCTTCACAGAAAAGACGCGCAGGTGGGTGGAAGTTTGATGGGCCGACATAGCCCCGATGAGCCAAGCTAGGGCCAAAATGGGCCAACATAGCGTCAACCTAGTGACATAGGCTCAACATGGGCCCAACATAGCCCCAAGATGGGCCAAGATAACGCCAAGATGGGGCAACGCAGCGCCAGCGTCGGCCAAACATCCGCCCACGATGCAGACGAAGCACCCCGGCGCGGCACGCATTTCCAGCATTATTTGGGCCTATGTTGGGCTACGTTGACCCATCGTGAACAACAAGAGCGGAAAAAACACGTCAAAAACCGTGGGTTTTCTGGGTGGTCGGCTACGCATTCTGCTTCGCAGAAGCAGGCTGCTCCCCTGGAGGGACACGGCCCTGACGGGGCTCATCGCCTCTGGCCGGATTGGTCGCTTGGAGAGTTCAACCTGGGGAGTCGTGGAGCAGTTTCTTGAGGAGCAGTTCGTCTTCGGCAGTTTGGTGCGGACGGCCGGTACCTTGATGGTGTCGCCGGATCTTCTGCAGCATGTGAAGGAGGAGACTGAACAGGAAGTGCTTCTCAACAAGAACTTAAGAAAAGCCAAAGAGAGAGAGAGAGAGAGAGAGAGAGAGAGAGAGAGACAGACAGAGACAGGCAGAGCCCAAGGCCTGGCAGTTCTGACTCGTCGCAAGATTGGTCGGTTGCTCAGCTTGCTGTTTTTGACAATGTTCGAAATTCAGTGCATGAGTTGGGGCCGCCGCCAAGCGGTCTTGACGGCGTGGGGGCGCTTCGGCAGCTCCATGCTTTCGACGGCTACAGGGAGGACCAGACCCGTGCCTGAGCCCCTGTCCATACCCTCCTGTGGCAATCGAGCAGTTCCCCTGGAGGAATTGATGGGGGTTGAAGGTGGTGAGATTGTGGGCGAGTTCATTCGCACTAGGCTTCTGCCGGAGGATGAGGCCCGCAGGAACCTTCGTCATACAGTGACCCGAAGCTCAAAGAGGCGCGGGCCTATAGGAGGTTTGTGGCGGGGTTGGTTGAAGCAGACATTTGGGAGCTGACTTTGGAGCCCAACAAAGAACAGGTTGAAACTCCTCGCCAGAGACTCGGGGTGGCTTGCCACTGATGAGCTTGAGTTTCTCTTGACTCTCTTGCGGATCTTTCTCAACCAGATTCTCTTCGCTCCACCCTCCAGGTGGTTTGACGACCGCAACGATCTCGTCTACTATGGCTCAACTCATGTGGACTTCCGCTCCTACTCGCATGTTGTTTGGTTTGTCTTGTATGAAGATGCTTGGATTCAATTCCAGCTCATTGAGCAAGGCTTCCACTACGCTCTGTTTTGCACCAGCCACCCTGACGTTGCTCAGTGCATCCCTCGTTTTGCCATCTTCATTGCGAACAACCTTGGGATACATGTCAGCCGTGTCCAGATCGTGCACATCCCTTTTCAGGCCCCTCATGGTCTTTGTGGATGGATGCTTCTCTTTGAGCTTTTCCAACGGGTCAATACTCTCATCCCTAGCCCTTCTGAGGCTCAGCATGAACTCTTGCAGCACTCTCGGCACCATGCACACATTGCAAGAGTCAACTATGAATCTCGCCATGAATGGCAGCGAATCGCTACTCCTCAACTCTTGGATTTTTGCACTGCCGCCCGCGCATCCTTCCTGTGTCAAATCCTGCGTGGATCCTTTGGCCAGCCTGTCAGTTCAGGAGGAGGAGTCTAGAATGCTCCCAAAAATGGGCCCAGTTCATCCGCCAGTGGGTCGAACCTACCTGTCGATCCATTATTCGAGAATGATCCTTGGAAGCAACCGAAGACTCTTTTTGGGTCCTGATTGGAAGACTTGCTACTCCCCACCGATCGCCCCTTGAAAGAATCCGGAGGAGCACAGCTGGAACAAACCCATCGGTTGCAGGCTTCAGCCAGGCGCCACGGCGCCGTTCTCGCTACAAAAGCACGCATTGCGCCTGCAGGGGACTTCGTCATTGTCTTGCCCCAGCTTGACCGTGCCAAGCTTGGTGAGTTCGGTAGCAAGCTGAAAGGCCCACGCGAGCTCATTTGCATGACCCACTGTTGAAAACAGATTATAAGAGGCTGGTTACGCTGTACCCCATCAAGGGTGAGATCCTTGTGAAGCTCCCAGATGCGAAAGTGACCTTCACGGCTGCTGAAGTTGTGGAACTCGTCCTCGAGTATGACACCAGGCTATTGACTGCTGTTGAGAGTGAGAAGGTTCGAGCCAACTCCACTTGCTGGAACTCAGGGGCTTGCAGGTCCTTGACCTCCTGGTGAGCTGCTGTGGTGGACTCATAACTTCTTTCCTTTTCAGTCGCAAGCTGCTTCTCAAGCTTGTATTGCTTGTGCCCCAGCTCTGCCCACGGCAAGCTGCCTCGGAACAGAAGGACAACATGCAATTTTATGCCTTCCGCTCTGGGCGTCACCCAACAGCCCCGACAAGTGAAGCACAATTCCAGCGCATCGTCAAGTTGCCGAAAAAGAATCGGCCTGAGCTTTTGCAAGGCAGTGGTGCCAAGCAGCTTCTCATCCGCGACTTCGTTGAGTATGGACAGCAAAGCTCGGATCTCACCGATATC